GGATAATTTTGATTACATTAAATTGAAAAGTTTTTCACAAACAAAGCCAATGCAACCAAAATTAGAAGGGAAGCAGAAAGCTGGGAAACAATTTTTATAGCCAGGGTCTCTAGTAAAGGCCTCATTTCTAAAATATATAGAGAAGTGAGTCAAATTTATAAGAACACAAATCACTGGGGCAGCTAGGTGTCACAGTGGATAGAGCTCTGGCCTTGAAGTCAGTAGGACCTGAGTTCAAATCCAGCCTCAGACACTTGACACCTACTAGCTGTGTGACCCTGGGCAAGTCACTTAACCCCGACTGCCTCACCAAAAAACGAAACCAAAAAAAAAAGAATACAAGTCATTTCTCAATTGATAAATGGTCAAAGGATGTGAACAGGCAGTTTTCAGATGAAGAAATTAAAGCCATCTATAGTGACATGAAAAAATGCTCTAAATCACTACTTATTAGAGAAACGCAAATCAAAACAACTCTGAAGTACCACCTTGGACCTATCAGATTGGCTAGTATGACAAAAAAGGAAAATATTAAATGATGGAGAAGATGTGGGAAAATTGGGACACTAACGCATTGTTGGTGGAGTTGTGAATTGATCCAACCATCCTGGAGAACAATTTGGAACTGTGTCCAAAGGGCTATAAAATTATTCATACCCTTTGATCCAGCAATGCCATTACTAGGTCTTTATCCCAAAGATATTATAAAAAAGAGAAAAGGACCCACATGTACAAAAATCTTTATACCAGTTTTTTTTTTTTTTTTTATGGTGGCCAAGAATTGGAAATTGAGGGGATGCCCATCAATTGGGGAATGACTGAACAAGTTGTGGTACATGAATGTAATAGAATATTATTGTTCTATAAGAAATGATGAGCAGGAGGATTTCAGAAAAACCTGGAAAGACTTACATGAACTGATGCTAAGTGAAGTGAGCAGAACCAGGAAAATATTGTACACAGTAACAGCAACATTGTGCGATGACTAGCTTTGATAGACTTAGCTCTTCTCAGCAATGCAATGATCTAAGACAATTCCAAGGGACTCGGTGGAAAATGCTGTCCACATCCAGAGAAAGAACTATGGAGTTTGAATGCAGATCGAAGCATACTATTTGCTTTCTCTTTTTCTTCTTTCTCATGGTTTTTTCCTTTTATTCTGATTCTTCTTTCACAACATGATTAATATGGAAATATGTGTAATATGATTGTACATGTATAGCCTCCATCAGATTGCCTGCTGTCTTGGAGAGGGAAGAAGGGAGAGAGGGAGAAAAAATTTGGAACTCAAAATCTTGTAAAAATGAATGTTGAAAACAATCTTTTCATGTACTTGGAAAAAAATAAAATACTATTTAGTGTGGAAAAAAAAGATGAACACCATTCACCAAGTTGGATGGAATGATGAGGATGAAGAGAAAGCAAAGTGACTCACTTTGTTTGTATTTTCTCTGACAAAGAGAAGGAACTTTGGTCTTGAGAAGACAGAACAAAAATGATTAATAGAGATTTGAAACCTAAGATAAGTAAAAGGATAATAAAAGAGTCCTTCTCTGCTCTTACTAAGTTCATGTTCCCAAGGAAAGCTCATACAGAGACTATAGTCCAGAATCTCTCAAGACCTGGTGCTATGACTGTTGAGCCGTGGTCAAAGATCTCAGAAAGACTGTGAAGATCAGGGTGGAACCACAGGAAGGAGGGAAAGAGGGTAAAAGCTTTTTAGATTTTCATATAAGGCAAGAGAGTAGAGCCTGACAAAATCCTAGAATGTGTGGTCTTTTGATATAATTTTCAGTTAAGCTCTCATTTTTATATCACCTGCATTTTCCACTGTATACCTCCTCACATCCAGTCCCAGAGGGCCATTCCTCATAATACAGAATTGTAAAAAGAGGAAGAAAGAAGAAAAAATTCTGCAAAACTAACCACCATATCAAGAAAGTCTAATACTATATACAGTGTTCCTCAAAAAGTAGGGGAAGGTCTCTCCTCACATTTCTTCTTCGGATACTATAGTTTTGCCTCATTCAATTTTGATATTAGTCGCCAGAGCCCTGGGAGTGACAGAACCTCCCACACTGTCATCCTGTTTCTCATAGCCATCATCCAAGGAAGTAACTCCAGCAGAGGAAGGAGCTGCTCATCCCCTTCATATGCCATGTACAGGACAGACAAACCAGCCTACCTGGAGCAGCAAGCAGGGCATCCTGATGGAAAGACAGGAGGTAGCAAGTGCCAGGCAAGTCAAACCACCCCCACCACCTCAGCCACCATCTCCCTTCAGACCCTGACAGGTGCAACCTAGGACCTTTGGGAATGGCAAGGCTTCCAGCCCAGGGAAATGCAGCCTGGGGCCTGACTGTTCCTGCAGGACTATAGCCATAGCTACTGAGGACCCAGAAAAGAAAGTTCTGGTCACCAGAGTCCTTGGCCCTGCCCAATGGCTCAGCACCAGAAAAGAATTTTATCAGTGGGAATGACATGAAAGAAGAGGCCCCCTAAAGACCATAGGTCCCTTCTGTCAGACTTCCCTAGGGGTTCGTGGTCTTTCCCGTTAGAATGTGAGCTCCTTGAGGGCAGGGTGAGTCTGACTGTCCTGTTTGTATTTGAGAGGCCCAACACAGGGCTTGGCACAAAGCAGGGACCTAATAAACATTCCCTTCCTGCCTTCCTTCTATTGTGGTTGTCATTCTTTCCTTTTACACTGTTGCTGTGCCAGTCCTCATCGTTCTCTTGGCTCTGACAACTTTCCCCCTGCATCAGTCCTCAGAGATCTTCCCATACTTTGCTGTAGCCATCATGTGTACCATTTCTTACAGCTGTTAAATTCTATCCCATCCACCTAATGTACTATGTTTAGTCACTCCCTGATCAAGGACAGATGCTGTGATCCCAGCTCTTTGCAACCACCAACATGCTGCTATTAATATTTTGTTGTATATGGAGCCTTCCTTTTTATCAATAACTTCCTTGGGGTAGGTGCGTAGCAGAGAGTCCTTGGGGTCAAAGGGAAGGATCATCTGAGTCGCAGATTCATGGAATCACAGAACCAGAGAGCAGCCACCTGGTCTAGCCCATAATCCCAAGGAGCTCCCACTGCACAATGTTCCATAAGTAGTCATCTGACTTCTACTGGGACACCTCCAAGGAGAGGGGTCCCACAGTGACCTTGCTTGGGCTGCCCATTCCCCTCTTGCACAGCTTTCATTGGTAGGAAGGTTTCCCTGATAAGAGGCATAAATTGGCCTCTTGGCCACTTTTCCCTTTCCCTCCTGGTTCTGCCCGCTGGGGCCAAAGAGGATGAAGAGAATCCACCCCGCCCATGACAGCCCTTCCTGTACTTGAAGGGAGCTCTCCAGACCACCCCATGCCTCCCTCTTCTCTTTTAGATTACATGTAATCTAAATGATCTGGGTTGTCTTTTGGAATTGCTTCTTTTTCCTTGGGGCACAAGCCAAGTAATGAAGTGTCTAGGACTGGAGGATGGACTGGGGTGGGAAGAGACTGAGGCAGGCAGATCCCCATCTCCTACTGTAATAGTTCAGGTGTGAGGGCCTGTACCAGGGTGGGGCAAGGTCAGAAGAGAGAAGGGGGTGTATTGGAGATGCTGCAGAGGTGAAATTGACAGGTCTTGGCACCATATTGGATCTGGGAGGTGAGAGACAGTGAGGAGTCGAAGATGAATCTTGGGTGGGGATCCTGACAGTCAAGGGTGTTGCCCTCAGCAGGACATTGTAATGACTTTATTTGCATAATTCCAAATTGCTTTTCAAAATGGTTGTACCTCTTCACAGCTTCACCAACAGTGTATTAGTGTGCCTATCATTCCACATCCCTTCTAACATTGACTGTTCCCATCTTTTGTCATCTGCTAATTTGCAGAGTGTCAGATGAAACCTCAGAATTGTTTTGATTTGTATTTCTCTCAGTATGATGATAATGTAAAGGATTCTTTAATACGATTGTTTAATAATTCAGAATTCTCTTGGGAACAGCTTATTTACACCCTTTGGCCCCTTATCTATCAGGGAATGACTCTGTGTGTGTGTGTGTATCAATCAATCAATATTTATTAAGCACCATTTGTTTATATTCTTTGGCCACTTATCTATCGTGGAATGGCTACTGGTGTGTATATACATATATACATGCACTATATACACACACACACACACACACATACACACATATGTGTGTGCATTTATCAGTCAAATATTTATTAAGCAGCTACTATGTGGCAGGCACTGTCCTAAGCTCTGGGGATACAGAGAAAGGCAAAAAAACAGCCCCTGCCCTCAAGGGGTTCACAGTCTGATGGGGAAAACTTCGAACAGTCAAACAAATACATACGAAGCAAAGTGTGTACAGGATAAAGGGGACATAATCAACAGACAGAAGGCACTGGAACGAAGGGGGGGGGTGAGGAAGGCTTCCTATAGAAGGGAGGGTTTAGTTGGGAATTAAAGGAAGCCAGAGAGGTCAGAGGCTGGAGCAGAGGAGGGAGAGTATTCCAGGCCTGGGGCGGGGGATGGAGGGCAGTTAGAATGCCTGGGGACAGAGAAATGGAGAGCCTTGTTGTGGATTAGCCAGAAAGCCTGTGTCACTTGGGGGACTCCGGCATAAGGAGACTGGGAAGGCAGGAGGGAGCAGGTTAAGAGTGGCTTGGATTGCCAGACAGAGCATTTTGTAATTGCTCCTGTGAGTGATAGGGGGCCCCTGGAGTTTGTTGAGTAGGGGCAACATGGTCAGACTTGTGCTGTAGGAAAATCATTTAATGACTGGAGGATGGACTGGGGTGGGAAGAGACTGAGGCAGGGAGATCCCCATCTCCTACTGTAATAGTTCAGGTGTGAGGGCCTGTACCAGGGTGGGGTAGGGTCAGAAGAGAGAAGGGGGTGTATTGGAGATGCTGGAGAGGTGAAATTGACAAGAGATGCAGCAGAGGTGAAATTGACAAGGGATGCTGCAGAGGTGAAATCGACAAGGGATGCTGCAGAGGTGAAATTGACAGGTCTTGGCATCATATTGGATCTGGGAGGTGAGAGACAGTGAGGAGTCTAGGATGAATCTTGGGTGGGGATCCTGACAGTCAAGGGTGTTGCCCTCAGCAGTAATAAGGAAGGTAGAAGGAAAGGGGGGTTAGGGGGAAAGATCATGAGTTCCATTTTGGACATGTTGAGTTTAAGACATTTACTGGACATCCAGTTTAAGATGTCTGAAGGGCAATTAGAGATGAACAATTGGTTTTAGCCCTGTAGTCTAGATCATTTTTGTAAATGTCTTGATGCAATCATTCATAGCATGCTCATCATAACAGAAACACATACAAAGCTAGGGAGAATGGCTAACTTGTTCAGTGACCAAGATTGACAAATTTAGAATGCTGGAGAGGAAATTTGACAGGGATAAATGTAAAGTCCGATGGGTTCAAAAATTCAAATTCACAAGTAAAAGACATGAGAGGGAGGTGTGCCCAGAAAGCATTGTCTGAAAAAAGACCTAAGAGTTTTAATAGCTTCAACACAAGTCAGCAGTGATTGGCAGCCCCAAGGTGGCATGCTCCTGGGCAAGACGGCAAGAGAATAGCCCTCACTGACTTTCTCTGGTAAGAGCGCCCCTGGGCACATTTGAGGATGGTCACTTATAAGCTTGAACCTGTCTGGAGGGCCAGGATGGGGCAGGGCCTCAACACCATGCTACAGTAGGAAGAGTTGAAGAAATGGTGGACATTTATCCAGAGGAAGGGAATGGAGGACAAGAGATATGTCTTTCCGTATATGAAGGGCTACATGGGGAAGGTGGGTTTGCATCCTTTGCTTTGCCTTGATGACAGAAAGCCACGTTAGGAGCAATGCCTGCAAAGTGAAGAGAGACAGATTATGCTTAGTATCAGGAAAATCTGCCTCCTGATAAGAACCTTCTCCAAGTGGAGTTGCTTGGCTGGAGAAATGGGACATCTCGGGAGGTAACAGGTTTCTCATTACTTGCTTTCCAGGCTGAGTGGAGTGAGATTGGCATCAGAGATAGAGGCCAAAGCTGAGATGGTGCCCTGGTAAGGAGAACTGCACCCATTATAGAGATGTGGACACTGAGGCTTATAGAGAGGAAGAGATTTAAAGGATTTGGAGCCAAAAAAGCCCTTAGAAATCCTCTAATTTAGATGCCTCATCTCACAGAGGAGGGAACTGAAGCCCAGAGAAAGAAGGTTCATGCTGAGGCCCCACACCTCCTCATTTCTGGCCAGCATCCCTCAGAGCAGGAGATGGGCTGACGATGTAGGAGGCACAAGGAGAAACCCCTCTTCTCAGAGACCACCCAAGAGGCCGGTGTCTGTGGAGACAGCAAGGCTTCTGGGCCTTGTTGGAGGAGGGAGGGGCAGTCCCAGGTGCTCCGGGAGCCCCAAGATAGCGTTTGAATTAGGAGACAAGAAGGAAGGTTGTTTGTGCTGGGCCAGGAGTGATAATTAGGGACCATCTGCTGCCATGTTACTTTTGTTTTCCCCAGCCCCATCCCAATGTTCTCTGAACACATCCTTGGGTGATAAAGGAGGCCTGTAAAACCCTGACCTCTGGCCATCCCCCCCCTGCCACTTAGTCAGGACTTCACAGCACCTGTGAGGTGGTCCTGGGAGCACAGGGATCCCCACTTCAGGGATGAGGGAACTGAAGCTTTAAGAGGGGCCGTGACTCCCCCAAGGTCACCTAGCTGGCTGGTGCTGGAATCAGGCCAGGCCCCAAAGCCCTGTCTCCTGCCTTCAAACCCACCACTCTCTCCATGGAGCCCAATGCCTCTCTCCAGCCCTGGCTTTAGTGTCAGCGAGAGCAGCACGCCCTCCCTGGCCCAATAGTCCAGAACATCGCCAAAGCAGCTCATCTGTGCCAGGCACTGGGCTAGGGCCCCTTCCCAAGCCAACACAATCATTCTGCCTCCCCAGAAAGTCTTTGGTTCACACCTGTGAGAGGCAGGTGGTCCAGGAGAAACTGCTCCGCCAGATGTGGGGGCTGAAGACCTGCAGCCCTCTCTTTCCTCAGTTTCCCCCCTGGAAAAAAAAGATGCAGCCCTGCTTTGGCCAGCGCCCTTCCAGGGTTACTGGGGGACGGCCCTTTGGAAACCAGTAAATTCCTGCAGACGTGAGCTGGGCTTTCCGCTTCGGTGCTCTGTTATCGCTGACCACACTGACCCTTCCCAGATCTCATCTGCCTGCTGAGCAAACGGGATCAGGGTGTTTGCTCTCCCCAGGCTTCCATTATTCAAGCAAAATGCCAAGATTAGGGGAAGGGCCTGGGGGGGGGGGCTTGGCTGGGCCCCTCCCAGCTCTCCCAAGGGAACAACAAGGCCAAGAGTGGGACTTTATTTTCTCAGCTCCCCCACATCCTCCACACTCGCACCCAGCAGGGCAAAGTGCAAACACTGGCCTCTGCTTGGCTGCCAGATGCCCTGGGGCCTGCCTCCACCAGGCTTCCTCGCAGCTTACTGCACGATGCCCTTCTCTTTGTGGTCCATTTCTCAGCCCTCCTCTTGTGCACTGGATGGATGCTCCTGCCTATTTAGCAACCTGGGCTGCTCTCTGCACACACAGGGAGAGTATGAAGGCCTGTCATGGTGGGGAGGGATTAGCTTTTCTCTGCTGGGGTGCAGGGGGAGTAGGGAGGGCAGAGGCAAAGAGACAAAGCAAGGCTTGACAAGCCCCGGAACGCCCCTCCAGCTGCTGGCTGTCCCAGAGTGGCCGGTGGTGCTGGAAGACCCCTCTCTATGGAGGCCTTGGTGCAAACACAAGCTCTGTAGGTACCTCCAAGGGCCTTGATTCTCATAACCAAAGGCTTCTATCCTTCCAGTGAATGCTTGACCAGCCTCCATGCCCAGTCCTAGGGGCTCAATTCAAGATTTGACTGTTGGTAGAAAACACTTTGAAGACACCAGCTGATTGTGTAGGGCAAAGAGCTGTGTTCAGAACCTGGCTCCACCCACGATTAGTTACATGGCCTTGTACAAGTCACTTCTGTCTGGGCTTCAGTTTCCTGTAAAATGAGGGATATAAACTCGATGTTTCTGAGTCCTTCCAGACCTACAAATTCTAGGTCAGTCTGCTTTCACAATCCCTGGCTTTCCCACCTTGTGTCAAAACTGGCTTTAGAGACAATGGGAATTTTGTGATTGTTAACTTTGGAACGTCACACCTACACTGGCTTACCAGTGTTGACCTCCCTTACTTGGTACCAACAACTCACTTAAAGCCTGGCTTTGAAATAAGACACTGTTATCTAAGAGAGGGAGAGAGAGAGAGAGAAAACAAACCTCGCCTTCTCTAGCTGAATTAGCTCTTTTCTTCTTTTCCAATGCAAGGAAGGTCCAAACTGCAGAATCAGGCTTGTTTATCTGCTGATAACCTCCCCTGCTATCAGACTGTCGGTAAAGAGAACAGCGCAGTTATTAAGTAACAGGAGAAAAAAATCTCTTCAATGGAAAATTTTCATGTTCTTAGAAAACAGAGTTATTCTACGGTAGAGCACCCAAATAATTGCTTTCAGATCTAAGAACAGATCATTTCTTTTTGTTTTTCAACTAATTTTCCCCAATTTTAAAACAGTTTTATTTAAAGTTTTGAGTTCCAAATTCCATCCTTCTGTCCCTCCCCTCCCCCTTCCCTGAGAGGGTAAGCAGTCAGATATAGCTTATACATGTGCAATTATGTAAAACATTTCCATATTGGTCATTTTGTACAAGAAGACTCTAATAAAAGAAAAAAAATTAAAGAAAAAAAGTCAAAACTAGCCTGTGTCAGTCTGTATTCCCTCAATATCAGTTCTTTCTCTGCAGGCAGATAGCATGCTTCATCTTTGGCCTTTGGGACTGTCCTAGATCATTGTGTTGCTGAGAAGAGCTGAGTCATTCCCAGTTCTTCATCGAACAATATTGCTGTTACAGTGGACGACGTTCTGGTTCCGTTTACCTCACTCTGCATCAGTTCGTGGAAGTCTTTCCAGGTTTTTCTGAAATTATCCTGCTTGTCTTTTCTTACAGCACATTAATATTCAATTACATTCATATACCACAGCTTGTTTGACCATTCCCCAATGGATGGATGTCCTCTCCATTTCCAATTCTCAGTCATCACAAAAAGAGCTACTAGAAATATTTCTATACAAATAGGCCCATTTCTCTTTTTTGATGATCTCTTTGGGATATAAACCTAGCAGCAGTATTGATGGACCAAAGGGTATGCATAGTTTTATAGCCCTTTGGGCAGAGTTCCAAATTGCTCTCCAGAATGGTTGGATCAGAAGAATGGATCATTTCAATACAACCAGTTTCAGAACCACTTGGGTCCAAACATTCTATCCCCAAATTAGACCTGGTGTATTCTTCACTCCAGCCAGTCTCTCGGTATGTTCTCAAAAGGAAGGCCGTGGTTGGGCCTGGAGGGGAATGGTCTGGAGACTCAACATAGCCCCTCTGTCCCTGCCTCCAGGCTTCTGCTGAAGGCCAGTACTGCAGCTGAGTCACTGCCTGCAGAGCAGGGAAGGCTCATTCCTTCTGCACAATAGCTCTGACCTCGCAGCTTTGGACAGCTGCCCAAACCTGGGTCCAGTGCCAGAGCCTGGGAGGATATAGACCTGCTGTCTTTCCTTCTCAGCAGAGAGGATCGCTCTTGACTTCCAACGCTTGGTCCTAGCACTCCGTCCAGCAAAGCTGCTGCAGGATTTTGGAGCTGGCGGGGCCTGGAAGGAGACCCCGTGGTCTGACTCCATTATCTTACAGAGAAGGAAATGAAGGCTGGAGACGAGCAATGACTTATCCAAGGTCACACAACTCAAAAGCGGTGGGGCCTGCATCCAAAGCCTGGCTCTTCCCATGGGTCCTCACCTGGAGAAGCCTGTCCATGCTTTGTAGCAGAAGCCTGGGAGACATGGATGAGAAAGTGTCATCTGCACACGTTAGGGGTGGGGATCGCAAGCCACAGGATCAGCATCCTGGGCTTTCTGATGAGGGAGAAGGAGAGGAAACGTCTTCTGTCCACCTACGCCGAGCCAGCACCTTTCTCTGCAGCTTCTAGTCTGATGAGGCTTCCCTGGAGTGAGTCAGGAGGGTGGGGCATGGAGCTCTGAGGAGAATCAATGTAGTGTGGTGCTGGCATGGTGCTGAGGAGGGCTGGTGGTGTTCCCTGCACTGTTGGGAGGATGGAGGATGGAAGATGGTGGATGGCGGATGGTGGATAGGAGAAGAGGGAGGGGCAGTGGAAGATGGAGAATGACCAGTGGTATTCCCAGCACCACTGGGAGGATGGAGGGTGGAGGACAGGGGATGGAGGATGGGAGAGGAATGGAGGATGGAGAAGGGCTGGTGGTGTTCTCAACACTGTCCAGAGGATAGAGAGGCACAGGGCTCATCCTTTCCTGCTAGAACTCCTTTTAGTCTGGAGATGGCTGCTCTCCTCACCAGGAGAACAATTTGGGAGCACATCAGGGATGTGAAGGCCAATTAGTGAATGAGGGACCAGTGCACGCACTTTAGAGACACAGGGGCCATGGTCACATGACCTCTGAGAGTTCGAAGTATACCCGCCTGGATAAAAATCACAGATCACTCAAAAGGAATCATCCAGAAGTGAAGAGAAGATGTCTGTCCACCATTCTCCTCCTGGACGAATCCTGCCCCCCTTTCAGGGATGGGTCCACTGAGGAAACAGAGGGGTGCCTTGGAGGGGGCAGCAGGGCCGGATTAGAACTCGAGCACCTGGAGGTGAAGCCCATCTACTTATGATGGAACCTCAGCATGCCCCCTCCCCTTTTGGGCCTCAGTATCCTCCTCTGTGAAACAAGAGGGTTGGACTAGAGAATCTCAAAGGTAGCAGGTGATCTCATGGCTAGGTGGTGCAGTGGGTAGAGTGCTAGGCTTGGAGTCAGGAAGATCTATGTTCAAATCCAGCCTCAGACACATACAAGCTGTGTGACCCTAGGCAAGGCACTTGGCTTCTGTCTACTTCACTTTGCTCATCTGTAAAATGGAGATAATAGTAGCACCTACCTGCCAGGGTTGTAAAGCACTTAGCACAGTGCCTGGCACATAGTAGGTGCTTAATACACACTTTCCTCTTCCCCCTCAAAGATCTCTCCTAGCCCTGAATCTTGTGTCCTCAAGGCCTTTGGAGGCAGGATGTTGCTTTGCAAAGCTGGGTGGGGAGGAAGATGACTGAGAAAAAGGAGCTCTGATAATCACAAGTATCTGTACAGCCTTTTAAGGTTAGCAAAGTGCTATTTCCTTATATCCTCACAACCACCATGAGAGGCAGGTGCTGACATGCAGTCATGACCATTGCTGACATTTATGGAACATGAATGTAAGAATGACAAGCATTTTGAATTTCCCCCTTGTACTTACGGGGAAAATGAGGTGCAGAGATTTTCCTGTTGTGACCACTCTTCTCATTATATGACATCATCAAGGCCCTGCATTCTGCAGGACCTTCCTCTAGACCCTGAGGAAACAGAGCTCCCATCCCAAACCATCCCCTGGTGGGGTTTCCCCAAGGTTCTCACCTGACAGGAAGAACCGAGATGCGCCTTGCCTGAGCCAATATGAGGGAAGGGAGATTTACTAGGGTTGGCTCTCTTCCTGCCTTTGAATTCCTCTTCTAAGCCATAGTCACCACCCTTTGCATGATGGAACTTGGAGCCCAAATGGTTTTGGAGATGGAGAAACAGCTGGAATACCTCTCCCTCCGAGATCTAGACCAGCCTCAGACCCTTCCCTGGCCACTCCTCCCTTGGTACATCTGATGCCTGGCACACTCGGCCTCATGATCCTGCCCACCGCATCATGCCCTTGTTTGACTTTGTGATGTGACCATCTGGTCTTCCAGCTAGACGGCAAGCTGTTAGGGGTAAAGACCATGAGATACATTTCCTACCATCTCCCATAAAGTCCAGCTTAAACATACTCATAGATACAGACACATATGCATATATAGTTGTCACATGTTTAGATGATTTTTAAAAGGAAACCAACTATAATATATACACACACATGCATAAACACACACATGTAGCCATACATACATATATTGGTATATACAGAGATACACATGCATGTACAGACACATACAGACATAAATGTGTGTTCATGTATAATATCAAAGATTCATCTATAACTGGATGACTATTATGCCTCCCCTCCTCTTCTTCTAGTACTACGCTTAGGTACAAATGATTCTGTCGGAGGAATCCAGAAGGAAATGTATACCAGGCTAGCACAAGAAACCAGTGACCCCCTGGGCATGAGTCTGGCATTCCTCAGCTCCATACTGCCCATTCAGGGTTTTTGAGAAGAAAGGCAGACTGGGAAAGCAAACAGTTGCTTAAGACAATGGTGTTTGAGAATGGGATTGGATTTCTGGACCACAGTTTGAGATAAGGGAATTGTGAGCGCTTGGCCAGATGCAGGGCTAGTAAAAATCTGTTTGCCTTTAGTTTTGTAAAGCTAAAGTCATCTTTAAGTTACACAGGAAGGGCAAGGGAGAAAGCATGTGTGGATACCTGCAAACCAGACACAGGAAGAGTAGCTCGGACCAAGGACAGATGGTGGTGGACACGGAGTTCAAGGAGAGTCAGTGGTAAATCCCATGGTCTCTGCGCTTATGCACAAGGAATATTTGACCAGCAGGATTAGCTAGTGACCCTCTTTCCAAGAGGAACCTTTGCCCTTGTGGGTGCACAGGTGTTTGTACCCCTCACACTTCACACTTGGCTTGGGGCCGACTCTCACATTTAATACATTGTTTTTCATTCACTCCCTAAGCCTTGGTGGGAAGAGGATCATGACAAGAAAATGGCCCCGGGAAGGATGGACCTTGTTCCAAGGGAGAAGGACAGGGAGGAGGAAGGGTGGGGCATCAACTTACGTGAAGAAGGTATAACCGTGAGTGGAAATCCAGGAAGCTGAAGTGGGGAGAAGGAGAAACCCATCTGGGAGAACTCAACGTTTCCAGAATGGAAACCCATCTTCCGTGCTAAAGCCACCCCTCCTTCAGACTGCCTTCTTCTGTCGAGACCCCACCAGTCAATCAGTCAGTCAACATACATTAAGTGTCTACCATGTGCCAGGCACTGTGCCTCCTTGCTCTGCCCCGAATCAGCCTCATTTGGTCCTCATCCCAAAGTCCTCTCCGGTTCTGTGGAAGCTATTTCCAGCCGCCCTAGAACCCCTGGGCCATAACTTTTTCTGCTCCTCCTGCTGTGAGTTGGGCCCCCTAGGCCTCACCTGGCACCACCTGCCACAAGGGTGGACATCAAGGGAGTGCCCTAACCAGTCAGATCAACCCCCTCCATCAGTGGACTTCTTTCTAACCATTCCTCAATGGGTGCCTATTCCCAACCTATCATCCCCTGCCCTTCCCGGCTGTCACT